TGCAGGACAACCTTTGTCTTCTCAGAGGYTGTCAYATTGGATTTGTGAAGCGATTTCGCTGGCTTACATCTCATCAGGTCTGCAGCCTCCAGCTGTACTGTCAGCTCATTCCACAAGGGGGATCTCTTCCTCCACCGCTCTGTACTGTGGAGTATCAATCCAGGATATTTGCTCTGCAGCCTCCTGGTCATCCCCTTGCCCCTTCATCCATTTTTTATCTACGGGATGTCTCGGGCCCCTCTCTGACTCACTCTGTTCTCAGGACCGTGTCAGAGTAATATATTTTGTCTTAAATTATTGGACAATAATGACCTTGTGTTTGAAGTGTTACTGCACACGCAGTGTGCTGTCTCTTCTTCACATCATCTGGATCATGTGATGGACACAGGGGCTCATGCAAATCTGTTCACTATGTGAATCAGCTTTTGCTGCTGCCTTTTTTGCTTATGCAACATCACAAGGGGTGTTTTTGGGCGGAAACTTCACGAGTATGTCAAGCCGGTGAGGCGTAGACTACATCAGGCTCTGCCTCTAATACCCATCTGCGATAGYCTTAGAGGGCGGAGCTTACACGAAATAGAACGTTGGTTACATATTGTAACCCCAGATTCTATGAGTGTAAGCGCAGCCTTCTAAGGATCGGGGCCTCACCGGCTTCCGTAGCTGAAGAAAAAGTAAGCTATTGGGAGCTGAACTCAGGTCCGTCCTCCCCTTTTATACGGACCGAGGTGGGGCCCACAGAACGTGGGCGTAGACTATTGGTTCTTCAGAATGCGCGAGCGCGCGCGGGGGTACTCATCTGCAATAGCCTTAGAGGGCTGCGCTTACACTCATAGAATCTGGGGTTACAATACGTAACCAGCGTCTCTCCTCCAAGAGACTTTTTCAGTCTGATGAGTTTCAGGTGAACTGGGAAACTTTAAAATCCTATGGAAACATGAAAAACTTTAAAATTCATGCTCTTATTTTGAAGGGAAAAAACTAGTTTCCTGTTCCCCGTGCTTTCACCGTCATGGACCCAGAATGCATCGCTTCAATTTTCCAATAAACAGTGTTTTAAAATTACTTTATTGATGCTTCTTTAATGAAAAATCTACAAYAAACAAAAGAAAAAGACAAAGAATCAGCCAAAATAGCAATCCTCAGCAAATTTTTAAAGAATCAGCCGAGCAAGTCTCAACAAGTTTTTAATTTGTACACCCAGGAGTCAAAGTTCTGTTTGAGGAAATCAGACCCCCAGCATTCAGCAGTTGTCAAACAAGCTACAAGTGTTCATACACCACTAGTGGGCAGCATTGAATTGTAGCCAGTTAGAAACTGTCAAATTGGACCTGCGTTTTAAAATTAGCTTCTGCTAATATTTCTTTGCAAAAAGCAGTTTTGAAATTGCGGACCTAAATATTTTCATAAGCGCTTTAGAAATTGTGTAGCTAATTTCTGAATTAGCGTTGCCCACCACTTCCTTTTATATTGTGTGCTAAAAATGCTACTCACCTCTCGTGTAGCTTTCACAGACTGTCACTGATTACAGGAGCCAGCAGTAGATAACCAGCCACAGAGAGATGGGGGTACTGTTACCCCATTGCACGGTACATGAAACAAGTGAAAATCTTCAGCATAAACACTGTTACACCAGAGTGTGAKTTGGCTCTAATTTTTGTCTGTGGTAGCTCTATAAGCGAGAGAATCAGCATGCTGCAGATTGAGTGCTTACCCCAGTCAAAGCTGGACAGCATGTCGGGCCGACCACTTCAACTCAGAGTCCCAGGAAAGGAGCTGTTGTGGACATATTTATTAAAAGGCAGAAACACGTGAATAAAAAGAAAATGCACTTCGTGAATGGTCGTCGAATGATTTAATAAGGTTTTGCAATTGCAAAGACGAGCAGCAGTGTGACTAAGTCTGAATCAAAGAGCCTGGACACACGCAACTGCCCTAGCAGAGACACAGGAAATGGTTTTACATACGGGCGGAGCATTGAACAACCAGTGACAAAATGACAAGTCTCACAGTGGCTTAACACAGAAAGACGCGTTAAAGAGATGATGGCGCCTCAGAATCAGAATAGATAATATGAAATAGTTGGCAGTTATCAAAAAGATACAAATAGCAATGTCAAGACAGTATGAACTTAATAATCAGGCAGAGAGGTATAATTGTTTTCTAGCACAGAGCTAAACCCACTTTACCTGAATGCATGTCATCAGCCATACAAATGATTGAAAACTGCCTTCCAACCTACTAGAAGGGACAGTCTGGACATTGTATGGGACTGATAACCGCTAATAATGTCCATTTAACGGACTGACAACGTTCGAAGCCTGTGGCTGCTCACAGGATATTAACTTCTTAAGCCCCACGCCCTCAGTACTGGGGGCAAATAGCATTTTCTGATTTTTTTTTTTTTGTTTGTCAGATATTAAGTTAACAGGAGTTAATAGAAGTAAAAAATGGAGTAAAAATTCAACTCTGGAAGACTAATCACCTCACCTGCCTCATCTTTCATAAGCCCAGCCGCAATCAATCAACAGCTGACACCCATTGGATRAAAGCGTCCTCTCTCATCGCTCTGTCTGCTCGCCAGCCAAACGTCAACCTAACCTTACCCCTACTCCACCCTCARTCTTCCGGCTACCATGGGCTTCTCCCTCCTACGACCACCACCACCAGTGTCTGTGCCCTGGGGGTGGAAGAAAAAGCTCCGATCCCTCTGCTGGGGTCCGAGCGTCAAACTCTGAGAACAGGTTTATTTATGTCATAAACCTTGCTAATTCAGTCATGTCAACAAACCTCCTATTTTCAGTCTGTCTTCATGTGAGTCTTTCCAGGTTGAAATGGAAAATGTTGTTTTGCCTGGAAAATGTTGTTTTGCCCCTGGTACCAGGGGCATGGGGCTTGAGGAGTTTTTAGCTTCCGCAGCTAGCTGTGTGGTAACATTAACTTTAACTTATATTTAAATCCAACCTACCAAAACAAGATTTGGTTCAGCTTTATTGTTTTTACTTTAGTGCTACTGCTAAACACAGTCATTTCTGTTCTGGTGCTGATGGCTGGATAAAGTCTCTACTGCCCTGCTCATACATTTAATGTGAGAAAATACACTCACCGGCCATTTTATTAGGTACACCACGCTAGTAATGGGTTGGACCCCCTTTTGCCTTCAGAACTGCCTCAATTCTTCGTGGCATAGATTCAACAAGGTGCTGGAAGCATTCCTCAGAGATTTTGGTCCATATTGACATGATGGCATCACACAGTTGCCGCAGATTTGTCGGCTGCACATCCATGATGCGAATCTCCCGTTCCACCACATCCCAAAGATGCTCTATTGGATTGAGATCTGGTGACTGTGGAGGCCATTTGAGTACAGTGAACTCATTGTCATGTTCAAGAAACCAGTCTGAGATGATTCCAGCTTTGGTTGTAACGGGTGCTTATTTGAGTCACTGTTGCCTTTCTATCAGCTCGAACCAGTCTGCCCATTCTCCTCTGACCTCTGGCATCAACAAGGCATTTCCGCCCACAGGACTGCCGCTCACTGGATGTTTTTTCTTTTTCGGACCATTCTCTGTAAACCCTAGAGATGGTTGTGCGTGAAAATCCCAGTAGATCAGCAGTTTCTGAAATACTCAGACCAGCCCTTCTGGCACCAACAACCATGCCACGTTCAAAGGCACTCAAATCACCTTTCTTCCCCATACTGATGCTCGGTTTGAACTGCAGGAGATTGTCTTGACCATGTCTACATGCCTAAATGCACTGAGTTGCCGCCATGTGATTGGCTGATTAGAAATTAAGTGTTAACGAGCAGTTGGACAGGTGTACCTAATAAAGTGGCCGGTGAGTGTATGTTTTCCATCAGAATTACTTGACATCTGTCTGTTCTCAGAGAAAAATATCAAATAAAAGATGAAAACAATTTTTTTAACATATTGGAAAGTATATACTGTATTGTATTAAAATTATTTGTTGGATTCAAAAACCTTTAAATATTTTCCCACCGTTATTTTATTCATATTTAACCCGAGTTTAACTGAGGTAGTAAAGTTATAATACCCAAATACTTATTTTATAAAAAAAATCCTAAAACACATAAGACAAATTGGACACAATCAGTCTGAAGTCAGCTGTTCCTCTAACAACACAGTCTGTCTTATAAATGTTATTTTCTTGCAATATCACTGTTTTTACACCACAACAAAACCATGGATTAAATATTTCCTGGTGCTGTTTTTGTTGTGCCAGAGGAAGATTTTTTTTCGCAAGGCAGGTAAATTTTTACACACTAGCAGTCAGAATGGGTCTCTTCAGGCTCCCAAACACAAACCTGGACTGATCAGCATGGTGTACGAGCTGCTGCAGGTGGGTTTCACAGCTTTAGTTTTATTTAATGCATCTTCTTTTTACACAGTCTCCTCTGCTGATTCTGTCACATCCTATTAGAGACCAACACCTACTCAAGTGCTGACCTAGTTTTTCAGTAGTTTTTGTTGAATTCTGGGTCAAAAACAGTGGTTACAAAAAACAAATTCTGAAATTCTTTAAATTGGTTTTAAAACAGAACCAAACCACTTTGATCACAGCCTCTCTGGGACTATCTATCTGCTCATTATGTTACATAAACTTGACTTCTTCAAACTGAGTTTATTGAAAGCACTATCTACAACAGATAAGATACTGTATTTATTCTTCATACCCTTTTCAAAGAACTCTGTTTAAGAAATCTGAACTTGAGTTTCAGCAGAAACATTTCCAATAAAACCTAAAATCTGATTTAACAAAAGTTTAACTCTAAATCTACATTTTGACTATGTGGATATTTCACAGTATTAATGAATTAAATGTTCCCATCCTTACTTTGATTACCACATAATAATCTTTCAGTCTTAAAGTAATTTGGAAAATTTTTTTATTTTTACTATTGAGATGTGTAGGAGCAGATCTGAATGAACTGAGGACTGTTGTTGTTGTGTGTGTTTCTGTGTATTGGGATGTTTCAGGAGCTGAGAAATGCTCACAGTGAGGAGATCATGGGGATCAGACGAGAGGAGGAGATGGAGATGTCAGATGACGATTCAGAGGAAATTCCCAGCAAGAGGCTGCGCTCTGAGGAAAACGGTGTGTTAGATATATAATCTTATCTACTTATTCACATCTTCCTCAAAATTCAATGACGTAAATAAATAAACAAAGGATTTTGTCAAATATCTTCTAAGTTCTCAGCCTCTTCTCCTGCAGGAGTTTGCGATCAGACCCAGGCCTCCCTGAAGGAGGAGAACGATTCTCTGCGCTGGCAGCTGGATGCCTACAGGAACGAGGTGGAGCTTCTGAGGAAAGAGCAGAGCAGAGTGGGCCGTCCAGATGACGATCACACACATGTTCCCAGTCCTGAGGCTCAGATCCAGCTGCTGCAGCAGAGCATGCACAGCATGCAGCAGGTAGGCTCCATCTCAGCAACACACCTGCCTCACATCAACACATCAGAGCCTAAATGACCTCACTCCAACAAAGTGTTACTCACCTGTTAAAGCAGCACTGAGATAAACTGTTTATAGTTGTTTGGTCTGTTGTTCTTCATGAAGTTAACTACCAGCAGTTACAGATTTGTCTGATATTTTCAGAACTTGTTTCAGAAAGGCAGTTAATCCTCACATCCACCTCAGCCCCGGCTGAGTCAGAACCCTACCAGAATCTCTCGCTCCACTGACTCTACGGAAGAGAGAGATTTGTCAGAGCACAGCTCATTTTGCACAAATTAGCCTGATTTGACCCGACTTCCTGTCGTTCTCAATCTGAAGTGACAGCACTGATGGAACAAGACAACCGCTCACACACACACACACACACACACACACACACACACACACACACA